CGCGAAAGTGTGCAGCGGCTGCTTCTCCGGATTCTTCTTTTACAAGCTAGATCCTCATAGTGTGTGTACGGTATCGGTCGTATTTAGTCTTCGATTTTTCTAATGGCATTTCAGTGTTTCTCGCTTCAGCGGTGATAATGTTTGAGCGTTTCTGAGCGGATTAATTTGTCAGTTTTGATATAAGCTGATGCATGACTGTGCTGTTCTGGTCATTCTTTTAATCATTTTATTTTTGCAGCGCTATTCGGTGATACCTCTTAGCCAGAATAGTGGACTTATCGGGTGGGTACCGAATTGTGATACGATACATGCATTGCTAAGGGATTATCGCGAAAAGAAGAAGATTTTGCTTAACATTGAACATAAACTGATGCAGCGGGTACGTGCGACATTAACGGCTAAGTGATATCTTTGTTGCTATGACGTACGGTTATTCAAGATGGCGCCGGATTACGACCACCTTACTTTGTTGCAAAAGGTGGAGGTTTTTGGCCACGCATTGGAGCACACTACGGGCGACGATTTGCAAAAGATTCTGTGGCTGAAGTCGCCCAGTTCCGAAGTCTGGTTCGATCGAAGGACGAACTACACGCGATCGTTGGCGACGATGTCGATGGTCGGCTATGTATTGGGCCTGGGTGATCGGTACGAAGCATATGCGACCATGTATCCGGTCGTCTTTCTTAACGCTTCGTTTTTAGACATCCGTCAAATTTGATGCTCGAACGGATGAGCGGCAAAATAGTGCATATCGACTTCGGTGATTGTTTTGAAGTCGCAATAAACCGAGAGAAATTCCCCGAGAAAATACCTTTTCGGCTGACTCGAATGTTGGTGAATGCAATGGAGGTAACGTTTGGTTTTGATGACAGGTCTGAGAGATAAGCGAGTGACTGCTCTGCGCTCAAATCTGTTTTCTTGTTTTTGATCACCATTGCAGTATCAACTGCACTGTCCTTGAGAAGACAAGTTTGCTTTCATTGTGGGAACGCTAACTACTTGTTTCTTATTTTGGCTGTCTTACTGAAGGGAGAAATAATGATTAAATACAATTTGGTGTCATAACTGAGCAGTTAATAAACTTCGTTCAAGGTTTGGTCTGCTTCTCATGTTTCAGGATTTGGTGCTTCACAGGTTAAAGATTGCTACTGCAGTTAGTGCAGTTTGTGACCGCCGCTACTTTTAATCGAGGACTACGAAACCGAATTTAGCGCATGTCTGCTGGATGATTGTTGCATTTTGGACTCGTCGACAAAGAATTTTTTCTCTGAAGATGCCAAAACATTGCAGCACTCTTGCTGTTTTTATGTCCGCTTGTGGTTCACTCCATGGTTATTTATTCTTCTGTGAATAATTTACCATGCTCCCCCGTTTGTCTCTGTCGATCCTTTGTGAACAGGAGTTGATCATTGTTAAGCTGTTACAGCCCTGCTAGCCTCGCTTAGTCCGATATGCCACACTTGATTTTACAAGATTTTTCCAACTCTTGAAGCTTTGCTTCTCCTATAGCTGAGCTGCCATTGTACGTTGCCAGTGTTAGTTAACTGTCGCAGCTCTGATTCTTAACACGGGTATTCTTATCACCACCTGCTTTCGTGTCTGATCAGCTGCTACTTTCGCCGGCGGTAATCCAGCCTCTGGGGAATGAGGGTTGTGGTTTCAGTTGTGATTTTATCTTGGAGGATTTAACCATAGCTTATCATGCTGGCCAAGAGGGTTTGTTATTTTTGCCTTTTCTACCTGGCCTGGTATATTTTTCCATCTTTCTCAGCATGTCTGAACCTTCCAGAGCCTAGATGCTCAGCTGTATATCATCTTGAGAACTGTCGTCTCCATCATATGACTTTTAGTTAGTGGAAGTAGGAGGGGGAGAGTTGTAACGAGAATTGAAAAATCTTTATCGCTATGATATGTCAATTATTGGGCTTCGGCCTGTTTGGCAGCAAGTTTGTGAGGTATACCGAATAAGCGACTTGAGTATTTTAATTAAAGAGAAATACGGCCTGGAGTATATGACAGGGAGAAAATGGATACGTTACGTCTGGGTGATTTTGATGCAAATGAGTCGTTCGTAGCCTTTGTAGCGAAATGATAACACTTGAGTTCTCTGGTTTACTGGGAAATAGAAACTTGGCTTTAATTCATCCGCATTTTATCGGTTTTGTAAGGAGTGTCAGTTTTATGGAAGTTTATGCACTTTCATTGTTAAAGTTTTATTTGTGATTGCAGGTTACGGGTGTCGAAGGCAATTTTCGAATCACTTGCGAGCGGGTTCTTCACGTTCTTCGGGAAAACAAGGAGAGCGTAATGGCTGTGTTGGAAGCATTTGTCTATGACCCACTCATAAACTGGAGATTGATAGACCGTGAGTGACGAATTTGGGATGCGCTTTAAAGTAGTTTCAACAGAATTAACTTCAGATACGACGGAGCTTCCGAAACTGAATGAAGCGGCAGAAACGAGCCTCGTTTCAGGTCGTAGTAAATCAGCCTTGCCAATTTCTGCGTTTGAAACTGTGTGTTTAAGATTCTCAGGCTGACGGGGCTACTGAAGAGAAACCAGCTTTACCTGAAAATTTTATGCAACCAGCGGAAGTGGTTAGTAAAAAAGCGTTGGAGATTATTCAGCGGATAAGAGACAAACTGACAGGTGAAAGATTTGGTTGTTAGACGTTATTTATCTCCATTTTCTTCAGGTAAGGATTTTGCGAATTTGTACGCTGAACCAATCGACGTTTCTTCACAAGTAGAACTGCTTATTGAACAAGCTGTCTCTCATGAAAATTTGTGTCAGTGTTACATAGGCTGGTGTCCGTTTTGGTGACCTCTTTTCTCCTGCGCTGGAATCTGACCAACGCCAGTTATTGAAGTATCAGCTCACCGACCGATAGTGATGCGCACCTTACACTGGCGTTCCTGTTTCAGGGCTTCATCGGTGACGATGAAACTGATGGTCGCCCTAGAACGATGGAACTGCCCGATAGAGTGGGTCATGCCCCTCATAACTGCGGGTCAGCTAGTTGAGGTTTCAGAATTGTGGAATGGTTTAGAAGGCGTTGCTGTTAGTCTTCCATTGTCAGCAGTATGTTGATAGCCAACCTGAGGTATAATAAAAGTGTTGTATAATAAATTGCAGCATTGAACAGTGTTTATACGTTATAATAAACTTGTTCAATTTATTATTAGTTGAATCTTAATTATACATATGCGAAATTAATTATATCTTCGAATGATGATTTGTTCTGTTCACGTGAAGCATTGCTTTACAAACCTTTATCTGTTATGACAGTCTACCTGGATTAATGTAAGAATAGGATGTTTCACAAATGTTTACAAAATTGAAGCTCAACTTTATCTGTCATTTAATAGATTTGCGGTCATACTGCTTGCAGCCTCTTGATTTTAGATTGATTCTTTAGTTCGCGTTGTTGGTGCATTGCAAAAATAGCTTATCCAAGTGTTTAAATTGTTCTGTAAGGAGCGAACTTGTTTCATTTTTCATGAGTCGTCCGCCATATAACGTTCCGGATGATGACACAGCGATACTTCAAAATTATTAAAGGCAGTAACTTAGGCTGAAATTTAAACTCAATTTTTGGTTGGCTAATTCAGCGTTTAACTGATTATATTAGGCTCATTTATAGGGAGTGAAACTGTATTTAATGCAGTCAGGTTTAGACTGAGGGGCATTTCCTCCTACCAATGCTGACGGTTCTGGTCTTACAAGGTTGAAACTTGGACCCTGTTTTAAAAGAGGATTGGCTGCGCTGTTCTTCTACATGAAGTGACAAGAACGTCATCAGCGCCGAAGTGTCCATGAAAATTGATTTACCCTACGCAGAAGCTTGCATTATTGTGAGGATGGTGATTTTCTCAGTTTGATGAAACATCTGTTGTAACAAACAAAGGATTAAGAAGCGCTAGAGTTGTCTGACAGTGCATCGTCTAGACTGAAGTCTTTATCCATATAGAAATTGCCGCTTAGTATTTACATGTTAGTTCATCCGTGCCACACTTTCCCGCCTGTTGCATGAAAGAAAAGAAAGGTATACTTGAAACCCTAGAAATATTAGTCTCCCGTACACTTTTGTGGTTGGACGGTCGCTGTCTGAGACACCCTTTTATTCATGAAACATGTGGCGCGGCGCTAATATCCATTTCCGTGCTATCATCCTGGAATGCATTATATTTTTTTCCGAGGTTATATCTGTTGCTAGGGGATCGCTGTAATGTATCATCATGTTCTTCCACGATATGGTACTCAGTCATTAACCTCGGAGGAAGATAGGCGAGTGATCCGTTCAGGAGTTTGATCGTTGGACCTCTTGATTCTGAGCTTAACTGCTCTACCGACGAGTAGCCTCAGTCAGCGTCGATCGGTTTTCGACGTTATCGTGGGTCTCGCCGTTCTCGAATTAACTCCTTCCTCCGTTTCTTTTTCCATCTTTAAAAAAGTTAAAATATGCCGCCTGCGATGCCTTTCACAAGCTGTCTACTCTTTGATCAATGGCCAGAGTTATGTTCATAGTAAGTTATAGCGCTGCTTTTTAGATACGTTATATCGCACCCAAATTAGAGGTAGCGGACGATTTTATTAATTAATGCGGCTGTCCCGGATGGTTCAGCAACAATTTATCGTTGTACACTGTAGTACTCATTCCATTGCACGAAGGTTGCCTGGGTCGTAAGTAAATGATCATCGTTTCCTGTCAACGATTTCACCGAAACTCAACAGCTGAGTCATCTCTCCTTTAAACCGTTCATGAAGATGCATAAGTTGTTGCAAACTAGCACTGAAGAAATCATGATTACAGCTTAATAAATGAGATATCACGTCTCGTTGCAACAGCCTTGTGTGTTGTATTCATCAACTTGAGCCGTTTCCATGAACGTAAATTCTGTTTTGTGATGTTCGTTGCAGGGTCGAGTTTTCAGAGCATTTATTCATCGTCGGTGGAATTGTTCCTCTAAGCACAGAGCTGCTTCTATGTAATTCATCCAAATTTCATGATGGTCTCATGGTTTAAATCTGATAACTATGGGTTGTCCGCAACTAAGGGTAACTTTGCTTTCTTTCTGCTGATCCCTTCTGCTGCCCTTCTTCAGCGTTCTCACGTTCTGGGTGTTGTTATGTTTCTAATGCTGCTCTATACTACCTTCAAGTGAAATCGAAGGCACTCTGTCATATTTTGAGCCGCTAGTGTCGATAGGCTGATCTGTTTCAATTTCGGGATGTCGTTGTGACGTAATTTTAGTTAAGGTTTAACGATAAATATATTTCGATCAGACCATATGCAGAGATCAAACCTAACGAGTTTAAAATAACCACGTGTGTCATTTGCGGCTGATAAAAATGTGGACTTACAGTTGGACTTAACAGGCATCGATCGGAGGACGTCAGTGATGTTTGATGAATTTGCGTACCAATTATAAAATAGGTTTTGCCAAATAATAATTCTTATTGCCAAACATTTGCAAAGTAACTCTTGGCGAAGATCTGATTCATTCTTCTGCTTGAATCAGGTCCAAGGATATGAATTCTCCGGCAATCTACATGAGATTTCAAGCCTTATATGCACCACGTCAATATGTCATAATTTTTTTTTACCGGTACCAACAATGAGTAAAGAGTTCATTTGAGCAACATTGTCCCTTTGAACATAAAAATGCGTCATCCGTAACTGGAATTGTGCGTATGATTCTTCATGAAAAACTGATCTGAGAAACCCAGATGAGGTGGCAGTCTCAACGACAATAGCAATGAAGTCAGTGACCTCGAAAAGTTGTGAAACGTGGTCACTCACTAAAGCTGAAGAGCGCCAGAAGGAAAAAATGAAAATTTTACATCGCGACCAGACTCTGAAAGAACGATGCGAGTGAAAGATGCCGTCATCGATGCAGAAAGAAGGGTCGGACACTTAGCTCGGCTAACCGACGGGAGATGGCCATTGATGATAGTCCACTGGTATCTTCGCGGGCAGACGAGGCTGCTTCGTCACTCTCCATTACGATGAAAAGATTATATGGGGAGCCTCGAAGGTCGTGCTTGTAGGGAGAAGGGTGGAAACCACTAGGAATGGTGGGCGGGTTGTAGCCGGCGCGATTCTTCGTCGTTTACCGGCCGGCCAAAGTGATGGTGTCGAGAATTAAGAAGCTGAAGAACTGCAAATTTTTTAGAAAAATGTGATTAAGGATGGTGTTAGGTGGCAAGAAAATCAGTATATGACTCTACGATGCTTGAGCTGCTTCAGAGCAGTTGTGCATCTCACGTCATCTTATTGATTAAACGGCATTTTACTGGTTTTCAGTGGTGCTTCAGAGGCTGTCCTCCTACATTTTTGGAAAGAATCTGAACTCTGGATTTATACACTGGAATATGTTAATAAGCGCACTAGCATCGTGCGTTTTGGAGAAATTATGCGGGTATTAAGATAATTAGACATCAAACATCATGGAGCAGTATCCTTCATCGACGGCCTGTTGGATATCTAGAAAAATGGTGTCGTTACGAGCAGGGCATAAAACCGTTC